CCTTTTAACGTTTTCAAAGTACTTTCTAAAACTTGAAATTTCAGCGTCCCGGTGGTTCTCAGGTAAAGTTGTGGTTATAAAAAGTGTCATGTCATTTCTTGGTCTAAGGTTGTGGTACTAGCGTTCGTTCGACACATGCCCTCTATTGGTGACTCATAGCGCACCAGTTGTTGGAGGACATGCGTCAGCGTGCGACAAGTGTTTGCGAGCGCCGGGCAGGCTTCGGATCCTACGCAGGAAGTCTCAGTTTGCGGCAACTGGCCTGGCGGGCAAGCGTACTCACGCAATTCTCGACCGCATTCTGGGATGGCAGCACTCCAAAAACTACACCTCGATCAGCCGATGTATTCTCAGTGAAGGAGAGACAACTCTGAATGAGGTGGTTTGTAAATTTAGTCATGCAACTGGTGCATGAGTATTATTCCTTCCTCATTCTTGTCATATTGACTAGATGAAGAACCTTCCTTTCCGTATCGTCTATTTGGAGCCTTGTTAAAAAAATTGTTTAACATAACAGGGATATCTCTTTTTATCGACTAATAAAAAAGAGAAAATGGATTGTAACTACCTAACTTTTGTAGTTTCATGTCAAATACGCACAATTTTGTTAAGTTATGTGCAATAAATGCAGACCCAATACTATGCAACAGAGTATTATCTACTTCATAGTCTATGGTACACACCATCTAAAAACTCCTTTTAGACTTTGCAACAAGCCCAAGACTTGAATCATGGGACATCCCCTTTTCTCGATGACTCTCCCTTAAACCTGACACGGATGATTCACACCTCTCCTAACTCTGAATCCCTAGTCGAACAAGTTCTGACTTTTTAATCACCCCGTTAACTGATCAACCCTTTTATCACATTCTTGGCCCGGAGCAGACTTTGACTTTTATGTTATCACCGATCAGACTCCCTATTTTACCCCCCTTTTTACTCTCTTTCATACTTTTCCTTCGTGATGATTAATGCTCTAGCGATCTTGAAGTGAATAAGTCGGTGCTGGTTTGATATCATGGATGCGATCAATATCCCATGGATTAAGAGCGTTATTCACCCCCAAGTCTCTTTCGTCAGGGGTGCAGCAAAAATAAAACTTGAGTCAAGTTTCTGATGACTGGGTTTAGTCATTAGCTCACAAAACTTGTGAGATCAGAAATTAGTTAGGTATTCACCTCACAGAAAAAGTGCTAAAGTGCATGACACTTAGTCTGCTAGTTAATGAGGAAGACACCTCATTTCTGTATTTATCTATGGTTACAAGAATTACCAAATTAGAATAAATTCATTTAAGTTGATGAAAGAAACAAAAAACACTCTTTTGGGAGCATATAGCTGTTCTCATTTAGTATCTGCTATAGTTTCTTTCTTGATTGGAGATAGGAGGGGGTTGAAGGAATAACCCTCATCACTCATAATGTATAAAGTTTGGTATGAATTATTTTTGGTGGAGACTGTCACAAACCATTGTGACACTGGATTAAACAAATTTTATTCAGTTTAGTTCATTTAGGTGATGAATTCAAACATATACTAGGTGAAAAGATTGATTTCGAGGTGGTATTTAGATTTTAGACTTTTTTTTTTTTGAGGGGGGGGGGGGGGGGGAGGTTGGGGAGGGCATGATGTCAGATCAGGGGTCTCACTTACCCTGATTTTGTTTTAATATATTATTTACAGTTTAATTTGTCTTCCATTCGTACCCTCAAGAATTTGATTTTCAATACTTAAGAGAGGGATTAATGATCTAATTATACAAACTAAAATTGGCCTTGGAGAAGCACTGGTGTAATGAGTACATGATATTTTCATATATCTGTATTTTTGCCTTGCAAAGCCGAGAATTCAGGATAATTTTTTTTTCTTTTTCCAACTAGGTCTGACATGTGATGAAGAGCGATCTAATACGGCCGTGGCATGGGGCTTTAGATAGCACATGTGATAGAATAATCCTGGACGTAATACGAGCGAATGCACTCGGGCAGGATTTGGAGCTGGTTTGCAGGAGTTTCTTCGCTATGCAGAGACCACGAAAGCCGGGAATGCCTTGAAATAAAGTAGAACTAATAATCAAGGCAGCTGGATGAATGCTTGTGATACTAATTCATTCTCAAAATATGCTGTCGGCAGCCTTGAATTTTAATCTAACTGAAACATATTCCTCTCTTCTCATGATTTTATGTGATAAAGTGATAAAACAATGATCTATAGACTGGTTGCTTTTTAAAATTGTAGGTTACCCCTCCCCCATATAAAAACATTCTAAGACAATAAGATTACCCTTGAAAAACAACAATACCCTACCACCCCCCCCCCCCACCTGATTTTCAAATCATTATGTTTGTAAGTTTGTAGTGACATTCAACAGTATTAAACAAGACACTGTGAATTTTATGAAGTATGTTACTATTTGTTTTGTGCTTTTATGCAGAGCCCTCTGAAAGACTTGTACCATTTTTATATTATATATGTATTTTCTTATTCAATTGCTTTTTATTGTACATGAATGATATAATTTTGTATTGTTGTAACTGAACACACTACTCTGGTTAAAGATGTAAAATAAATGAATAAAAAAATGCAAAAAGTTAAAAACTCACTCTCTTTACATTCAGCATAGTTGGATAGATCAAATTGGTATTTAGCAGGAGGCCATACATATATGTACTGTAGTCGCATGTCTTAATTACATCTTGTAGAAACATCCATGTAGATTTTCTTACTTAACCCTAACCATGTGACACAACGACCTTGAAATACACTCTAAATATCTGGACAAGCCAATATTGCCTAAATGATGTGAACAAAATTGTAGCTTTGATAACTTAAGGGTTGCCAAAAAGGGAAGAGTTGTAAGTCAAAAGTCTTCTCTAGATCTCCTTAACAGCTTTTCCTCGTGAGGGATAATGACCTTGGAAGTCGAGAGATTAAGTACAGGGCAATATGGAGATTCTTTCCAATGCAAGATAACCTTGCTGGTAATATGATTCTAATCCCTATATCCGGTCAAGTTTTGCTAGACATTTTGTGAGTGAAAATAACATTTGATTTGATTAATATCTGTCTAGGCTGAATTAGGATGCTTGTATTTTCAAAACTATCTTAAAGACCCTAACCAGTGAAAATACAATTTCAGATCAATGGCATGCTGAATGAACGTACAATACAAATATAAAGGAGTAAAAAGTATTTACCCTTTTATTATTGCACAAAAGCAAATTAATCCGCACCTCTCCAAATTACGGGTCAACAGGGGTCAAATTTGCTGAAGTTACAGTGATGACATAACATGTGGAACTGACCGGCTCACCTATATATACGAGGCAATGAGCCCTGCTCAATTAATGCCATTAAATTCATTGTGAATATGCATACTGCACATAAGATGATGTCATCAAGTCAATAGCTAGTTTTTAGTTTAAAAACTTCTGATTATCAAAGCTTTAAATTTTTAGTCTTCAGAGAGCTGATACTCTTCTGGCAGACACTAAAATGGCATATAATTGATATTACTGTAATGTACGACCTTTAAGCTTCTAGTGATATTTAATTTAGCTTTTTTTTTCTTTCCGATTCGGATAGGGTCTTTAATAATATTGACTTGGGGCAGACGTAAAATGTACCATTTGTGGTCAAGCATGTCTTTGATTGGTTGATTAACAGCTGTCTGTACTGAATTAAGAAGTCTCTATTCTTGTTTGATGTCCAATTATCAATTCTAAGTGTCATTTCATCGAGGCAAACCAAGTTTTAATAAAAAGTTTAACAACAAATTACTGATTTTAGACAAGACTTTCAAAAAGATAACAGGAAGAGAAGAAGTACTTTGTCCCCTAAAATCCTTGCTTGTTGCATGCCACCCCTCATCCATTTTAAGCCCTGTCAAATTCTCATGAATCGAGTTCAAGTAAAGTGAAAAGTATCGATCAAAGCCAAGAATTTTGTAAAGATAAACAGATAAATAGTTTGTTCCTCCTCATCCCCTACAACCCCCCCTCCCCCCCCCCCCCCCCCTCCACATTTCACATCTCCTCTTTCCTTAATTACAAGAAATGATATGTGTTGGAACAAATAGGAAAGTTGTTGTCCGGCTCTAAATCAGTGAAAGTACCGATTTCGGCCAATTTGAAGTTCCTACATGTAAAGTGATTACAACTTTCAAAAGTTCATAACTTTTTTTGTTGTTGTCCGATTTCATTCAAACTTTCACCAGTCTGCTTCTTTAATGTTTCTGTTTTCTTTTAAAGTTGTATGCTCTTAAGTTTGGATTTCCCACATATTTCTGTCACATGATCAGCCTTTTCACATACAGCTAAAATTCTATAAACATGATTAGTTTAAAGGGCTTTAAACTAATCAGCTGTACATACGACATCATTCACACACAGAAATTTTGGTGCAATTGTTAATCGTTTCGTGATTAACTACTGCTCTTAAAATGCGCAGCAGTGCCATTGCGCATTGAAGGTCAGGTCATATCAAACAAAGCACACGCTCCATCCAGTTTAAACACGTTTAAACCGTTCACACACAAAATGTCAAGCTCTCTAGATACGAACTTCGTATCTGCAGCCTGCTTTGAGGGGCGTATGAATCGCGACTTTGTATCTATCCGAACATTGTATAAATGATGTTCACACAGGGAAATTTTTCTTTAAAGCTGTTTAAAACTGTTGAGTTAAACATGTTTATACTAATCATCTCTAGATACGATGAATTTGAGCTGTGTGTGAAAAGGCTGGATGACGTCCTACATTGGTCATAGCCAAGTGGCTAAATATGTAGCACTCTAGCACATCAGGTCTTACATATTATTATTATTATTATAATAATAATAATAATATTCCGCTTCTATATAGCGACCAATACATCGATTCGATACAATGATGCATCTAAGCGCTTTACAGATTACCCTGGTCATCGGATTCAGGCTTACCCGCACACAATGTATGCACATTCTCCACTCCCTAGGGAGCATCTTAACTTTCGCATCTTACCATGCAGGTGGCATCAAATGAGAGCAGTGAAGACATGTAGATGGTCCTGTCTGTCTCTGTGAAATGCTCTGGAATGGATGGTAGACTGATGGATAGCACTCTCCTCTTACATACTTCCAGAGCTGTTGAAACGTTAAGATAAAGCAACAAACGTTATGAATAAAGTATATAGGAACACTGCATGCTGACACTGCAAAGAGAACCTGATAACAATAATGTATCAAATTGTTAAGCAATATGTAAAATCTGTTTCCATCATAACTATAATTCATATGCTTGCACTGGCAATGATGATGATGATGATGGTGATGATGATGGTGATGATGAGGATGAGGATGAGGATGATGATGAGGAGGAGGAGGAGGAGGAGGAGGAGGAGGAGGAGGAGGAGGAGGAGGAGGAGGAGGAGGAGGAGGGGGAGGAGGAGGAGGAGGAGGAGGAGGAGGAGAGGAGGAGGAGGAGGAGGAGGAGGAGGAGGAGTAGGAAAAGGAGGAAGAAGAGTAGGAGGAAGAGGAGGAGGAAGAATAGGAGGGGGAGGAGAAAGAGAAGAACTGGAGAAGGAGAAGGAGGAGGAGGAGGAGGAGGAAAAAGAAGGAGATGATAACCATGCAATAATTCCAAAAAATATAAATCAGAAATTATTGTACCGTACATTCTTCATCAAACCATTTCTATTGTTTAGTTTGAACCTTACTTTGACTCTATATCTCACCTCCTTTCTCTCCCACTCTATTAAAGTTTTCTTTAATTTTACATTTTTTTTTTCCATTCCGCATTTCATTTTTATCTGTGTGTTTTCCTTTCCTCTCTCCTAAACCTTCTTCACCCATTAATCTATGCATCCCTTTCCCCTCTCTGCCTCTCCAATTTGTATTTATTCCTCTATCCATATTTTCTTCATTTCTTGTTATTTTATAATTGTTTTCTTTTCCCTCTCTCCTAATTCTTGTAAACCCATGGCATATATCCAATCTGAACCTGGCAGGAAGGAAGGGGTTCATTTAATCCACTATCCAATTAGTCTTTCAATTCAAACTTCAATAGAGGTGCTGTGGTCGAGTGGTTGTCGCCGGACTGTCGATCACAAGTTCCGCAGTTCCAGACCCGCAGCGGCACTAATGTCCTTTGGGAAGGCATTGATCTACATTTGCCACACTCAACCCAGGTGATGTAAATGGGTACCTGGCATGAATTAATTCTTTGAAATGCTAGAGCGCCGAAATGGCAGCACAGCTAAAGCCGGGGCAATAATCTCCAAGTTTGGAAGCGCTTAGTGATTGTAATAAGCGCTATATAAAAACAGAGTATTATTATTATTATTATTAACAGAAATAACTCTGATACAAAACATGAGCACCCATTAGAAGAACCAAATTAAACTAATACTGACAAAATCCAATTTTAGTTGTCACAAAAGAGGTATTCTGCTTCTCTTTCTTTTAATTCATCAATCATTGTGAATAAAATAAGTCAAACAAAATTATCTCAATTTTCTTTTTTTAATGTTCAGAAATTTAAAGCTAGAGAGTATATAGAATTTGACAGTCTAAAAGGATACAAGGTTTCTGATGCTAGACTATCTTTCAATGTCCCCCATTGGCCGGTATTCTCTTCCATATAATATGCCTCTTCCTGCCTTAAATCCATGTCAGATTTTCTTTGTTTTTATGCAAAAGACGGAAAGAAGAGGAGCCTCTGCAGAAACATAATACCTCACCGAAAACACTCCAAATAAACATGCTACAGAAATGCAATAACAAGCAAACTCAAGGACAGAGAATTGTTAACTTGATCAAGTTTTTGCAAGTACGAAAGACAAATGCAATTAAAAGAGAATGAAACCCAACAAACATTAACTAATAATCTTATTCAAAATCGTCAGTCAATTAAATATCTTTTAATTACTTGTATTTGATTATTTGGCAAGGAATACAGCATCTCCCAAATTGCACCTTCTCCACTCCGTTGAGAGAAAAAAAAGTATTTCATAAAAGGTTGCACACAATGTGAAATGAGCGGGACATGATTAATAAAAGGAGAGATTCCCCCCCCCCCCCTAAATAAATGAATTTGGGACTATTTATGGGCATTTTTTTCTTCTTTTTCTTGTTGTTGTAAAACCTCCCATTGAAATCAATAGGACATCAGCTTCAAATGCATGATTATCTGAGAAGCTGATCTTATATCTGTTATGTAGCAGGGCATTATGTATCTCCATCTTGTTAAAGATCTAGTAGGGAGAAACAAATGAAATCAGATACAAATGAATATAGATAGCCAAAAAATTAAAACAAGTACCATTTCAGTGACAGAGCAACAGGAAATATCACTTTTACCTCATTGCAATTGACCTTTTGAAATATTTGGTGTCATTTTGAGAAGATTTAAGATTACATCTAATACAAAACAAATCATTTAGTTGGGGGTATTTCCCCCTCTTGACACTTGACAGAAGTATCATTCACTAGCTCAATGGAATCAATGCTCTTCACTTTAAACCTTTTTCATTCATGTACCACATACCTATCTGTATATTTCTATAAATCATTTCTACCTCTTAAATCTTAACTAGATTTTCTCCAGAACATTCTTCATTACATATTTCCTCATCTTCATCCCCCCCTCTTCTCTCTCTCTCTCTCTCTCTCTCTCTATCTATATATTCTCTCTCTCTCTCTCTCTCTCTCTCTCTCTCTCTCTCTCTGTCTCTCTCTCTCTCTCTCTCTCTCTCACAACTTTCTTCCTTTGCTCAAACTTACATAATCAACTGAATCACTAATAGAACTAGCGTGAGCCAGGACTCCACGCAATTATCTTGAATAGCTCCCTCTATAGACCACCATGGTGATATTATCTTCACTTTTGACAAACCGTTTCCTTCCTCTTGATAAACACATTAAGAAGTATTGCCCTGATTAGGCTTATATACTAGTCATGGTCATCAGAATTATACACTGACCTGGGAGGTCTGTGGAGGCTATAGATAGGGGTAAACAAACTTGATAACTCAGCAACAAACAGCTAGAAATCAAAAACAGTATTAATAAGTCTAATGGACATGAATCAATTGCAATTACATCACATCTCTCTATCTCACTCTCTCCCTTCTTAAATTTGTGTACACAAATCTTTGAACCCCTTGGAAAACATGCACTTACCTAGCTTTCATGATACTATATAAATGCAATTTGCAACGGAGGGGGGGGGGGGGGGGGGGGGGGGGGGCTCTTTTCTCAAATATTGGCATATATTTGCTGGGCTGCAATTTACTGTTGTTGTAGTGTTGTGATTATTTTCTTATAGGAAGTGTCCCCTAAATTTCTTATGATTCAGTTCAATTTTATTATGGTGTCTTTTCAACTTTTGTAATTTATTTCCAGCAGGCTTTATAACGATACGTTAGTGACTGTGATGCTTCACATAAGACCCATATTTTAACTTTAACCTCTCACAAATATGCATACTTTGAAGTTTAAATGAATATTATTGATGACATCATTCATATTTATAAAATGGTAATCAAATTCAATTTGATGGTTCAAATGGAACAATGGCAATCTCACGAACTCTCAATCAGCATGGTCGCAAAATAGATTTTTATGAAGACATACTTTATTTGCAATTAAACTAACTTAATATTTACATTGTTCAAGTTTATATATCAATATCCGTCCAAGACTGTCGTGTCTTTTGCAACCCACACAATGAATCCTGTTCCTGTGTCTTCAACAGTATTTGTGTAGTGTCAACAATCTACGTCACAATAGGTGCGTCTTTTTCTGATTTGGGAAATAATCCCAATGTTACAAATCGTGTTTTCATCAGCTCGAGACTCAAAACTTGAACTCAAGAAATTAGCTCGAGATATTTTGCTCATCATTTGCGCAGAGTGCGAGTCTGCAGGCTGGTGAAGTCGCACATGACAAATAGCGGGATATTTTGCAAACTAGCCCAAGAATATACTTCTAATTGCAACTGCGGGCAAATGAAGACGCAAATTAGGTGGATAATTTGCAATCGGGATAGTTAAAATAGCGAGTTATTTGGCAATCTGGAGCTGATGAAAACAGGCCTTATGAATCCTGTTCTTGTGTCTTCAACAGTATTTGTGTAGTGTCAACAATCTACGTCACAATGTCATGAGTGGTATAGGGGGTTGATGCTTGTTGAGTAGTTGTGAATGACAACTTAGTTTTGACGCATGACTGGTCTACGTCACAATCAAAACAAAAATCAGTCATCGAACCATGTCTGTAGCATTCTAGTCTAGTTTGATGGATGTAAGTAATAGTTACCCACGCAGAAATAGTATCACAGAATGTTGACATGAGAAGGGATATTCCCCCCCCCCCCAAAAAAAAAAATAAATAAATAAATAAAATAAGAGAGATATTGTATATGACAAAGAGAGTTACTATAATTATTCATACTCGTATCCAGAAGCAAGTCTTTCTTTTGCATATGATTGGGGTTTAAACCACTAGCCTTTCCAAAATCAACCTTACTCTTGTCTAAAGTACTACCGGTAGTCCTTAATTCAAAAAATCATTTCTTTTAGTTGGTTAAACCTCTCTGTATAGAAAAAAATTTGTAGAAGCTTTTCACCGTTTGATTTCTCGGTTGACTTGGCTCCTCACAACAATTCAAACTAATTTTGTGCCAATTTGACTTTTTTAATTGTTTAGTATAGGTAATAACAATTCATTAATACATGCTCAATTTAAAGGAAAAGTAAAAAGTCATATTCATATTCAAGCGTGTGGCACCTATACAAGCTTAAAACCATGGACTAGGTTTGCTTGAATTGGCAGCAATGAGAAATCCACCTTTTCAAATGTTGATGTCAATGACACAGAAAGGAGATCAGACTAGAATATATCAAAACATTGACTCATCCATATATCTCCCCCTCATTTACAACACTAACAAATAGAACCATGCAGCCCCCTCCAAATAGTCATCAAACTTTTTATATTGCAACTAGTTTATACAGTAAACCTCACGTAAAATGATCTTGACGGGTCTGAGTGAAATGCGTCGACTTAGGCAATCTTTGGATAAGTTGTAGAAATACAACTCATACATGTGTATGTACTACAAGTACATGTACATACACATGTAT